GATAGTGCAAGTCCTTTAGCACAGCTGGCCTGCTGTCCTCCTCACCACAAGATGGTGTGCTATAAATAAACTCGATGATCATCCGAACAAGACCAACAGCTAGCCCAGCCATGAGGCCCCAGAAAGCACCCTGAGAAAAGACAAGCATAAAGAAAAGGTCACTGCATGTTACCTTTGGATGAACTTTCCTTTTCCTTTTCCTTTTCCTTTTCCTTTTCCTTTTCCTTTTCCTTTTCCTTTTCCTTTTCCTTTTCCTTTTCCTTTTTTTCTTTTCCCCTTTTCCTTTTCCTTTTCCTTTTCATTTTTCTTAGAACTTTTATGCCTCATGGAAACATACACTGTCATGCATCAAAAGAGGATGTTTTCATGTAAAAGTCCTTAATTTTTTTCTTTCTGCCCTTGAACATGGAACAGACAGAGCACGGATTGTGTAAAGTCTCCCCCTAAAAACATGCCTCCAACTAGACTTTGACACATCATCCCTAAAGTGCAGAACAACTTTGCCTTTTGTGCTTTCAGATGAGACTGCCAAGAAGCACCACTTGCAGTGGCTTCCTGGAAGCAAACACACATAACACTAGGGACTGGGCTAAGATCCACTAATGTGTGCCAAGAAAAGGCTCTCTAATTGTTGCACTTTAGCTGGACCGGCTTTGAATTTAAAGAGTCTCAAAGGCTAGGTACTGAGGGGAGAGATATTTATGTATTTTATCAAATTAAATATGTATATCAATTAGTTGTTGACACTCCACTTACAGGCTCATTAATCCTCTTGCAGAAGATTGCCAAGATGAAAAGAGCTGTGATCGGTGGAGCTAGGTAGCTGGTTATGGACTGAATGTAGTCGAAGAGCTTGCCGCTGTTGGCTGACTGAATGATTGGGATCCAGAGAATACTGATGACTACAAGGATGAGGATGAAGACTCTGAAAGATGAAGATAAAATTCTATTAGCTCTGCAGGTGGTGGAGTCCCCCAAAAATGAAGTTTTACAGCAAAACATACTTCCAATTGCTCTCAGTATTTCCTAAGGAAATACTAATTTCCCAAGGAAAAATTCCTAAGGAAAAAAATCCACAGATCACTCTTAAGAAGAGCCTTCCCCTATGTACACAAGAAAAAAGAAATTTGTTCTCTTATAGGAAGTCAATTCAACCAATTCCCAAAGCCAACTTTGCAGATTTCTGAGTGAGCTGAACTAAAACTTGCCACTCAACATGTGGCATTCAACATCTGCAGGGACAAGGTGGCTCCCACCGTGAGCTGGATCAGTGCGAGCCCTTCAACCCAGAGTGTCCTACAGGGTGGTGTGTTCTTCCAAGGACTAGCTCTTGCAACAGAGAGAGGGAACTGGAAGCTCCTGGAAGCAATCTTTCTGCAACCTTTTCTAGCAGATAACACGCCTTGCCAAACTCCAACTCACTTGCTGCTTATTAAAATTGCTTCTGGGGTCTTAGGCACATACCATAACCCTCCTTCATCTTCACGCAATCTGTACGTTATAGAGGTTTCTCCATACTGCTGAACAAGAAGTTTATTACAAGGAGCTTCATTCACAAGAAGCTTCTCATTACAGTGGTGGGGTATGAGACTGCCTGCAGCCTTCAAACACCCCGCAACAAAGTTTAGAACTTAATGCCCATGACTGGAGAGAAAAAGCACCACAAACATGCAGAATGCAGCTTAAATTCTGCTATTAGGAGAAGAACCTTATGTGCCCCTGTATAATGTAGTACCAAAGCTTGCTTGCAAAGGGCACTATAACTTCCTACAGAGGTAGAGAGCTGGGAAGCCCAGCTCTCTGTGCCTTTCCCTGAAAAAGGAGTAATTGCAATGTAACACTCCTGTCTGATGCAAAAAATAACATGTTCTTTAAGACCTCCCATGAGAGTGACTACAGAACATCTTAGGCTTTTGTAAAAAGTTACATTTAAGGCAGTATTTATGTTAAATTTAGAGAAGAGAGAGCTCAGTGGTACATTTAGTGTTTCTCTGTGACCAGTCTATCTGAGACAAAGCTGGAAAATGTCATGCTCTTTTCCAGAATACGTTCCTGCTCTGTATTTTAGGCACCAGATTTTTCTCAGTGAGTCCAGACTGAAGAATGTAAACGCTGCACTCAAAACAGATGATGAGAGCAATGAGACATAAAGAAATGTAAGGACCTGCCCACAATCATCAGCTCCTGCTCTGACGCCTTTTTGCGGATCCGCTGCCAGATGTCTATAACGAAGAGAGTGCTGCTGCTGTTGAAAATAGAGGTGAGGGAACTCATCAAGGCTGCCATCATCACAGCGATCATCAAACCCCGGAGCCCTGGGGAAGAAAAATCAGGACTAAACCTTTGGCTTCTCAGCACTGTTTTTCATCCCGATGTCTGGTAACTGCAGTAAGATTTCCTTATCTTTAGGATGGATAAGAGCAGTCTGATCCCCTTGTGCAGAGCATGGTTCAAGCCCACCTCCACAAGTGCAAAGGTTTCTCACCATCAGGCATGAGTTCTATGACGAGTTTGGGGTAAGCAATGTTGGAACAACCCACTGCAGCTCCACAGACCCTTTTACAGATGTCCGGGTCCACACAGCCCACTTCATCTGTAGAAGACAGGAAAATAACAAGTCAGCATGAACCCTGTTGTGCCATAGGTTCTTTAATTCACAGGAGTAAATTCTGATGCGCTGTGCAGTTTCATATAAATTAAGAGATGCAACTGGAACAAAGCTAGAATGAGTGGAGCTGAAGAACATTTTACATTGTAAAATAAAGGTGAAACTTCAAGGTGATATTTTGCAGTTCTGTCCAGGGTACGCTTAAAATTCTCCTGAATATTGAATAATTGTAATTCTTGATAATTTGTCATTTGTGGGAACTGGACTGCCTCCATGAACCTGTCAGCTGGGTCACCAAGGATGTTACAGGCTGACTTACTCCTATTTGAGAAAATCTGGGAGAAAGGCACTTTTCTTCAGGAGTCATCTTCTTCCTCACCAGGGTATTCTTCCCAGGAAGCGGCATGATCTGAAGAAACCCACAGTGAGAGCTCCTTGGGAGACAACAGGACAGGAATGCTTGCTCTTTCACAAAGAAGGACTGTTTTGCATAATCCACCAGAAATTGGATGAATCTGTGCCATAGATTGCTAAAGCTCTCACCAAATACCTTAACAAAAGTAATCCATAGGACCTGAATTACAACCTCGGTGCTCTACGTATTTCATCTCACTGATGTCCCCCAGGTAGACAGATGCCTGCAGTGTCCACGGCATGGAGCTATACACCCCCAATGGCAAAATACCATCCATATGGATACTCCAAGTGACTTTTGCCACTATGGGAGCACTGGAGGTGGAGGAAGAGCATGGAAACACCATTGTACAACAGGAACCTACACAAGTATGCCTGCAGGACCACAGGTGTGTAAGTGCTGGTGGACCAGTGCGGGATTAGTGATCATGGCAGGTAGGAAGCCCTGTGTCAAGAACCGTGGGAAGGCTTACCTGGGTAAAGAGCTCTGCTGATCATTCCTGGCATAACAATGAAAAACATAGGGAAGATTTTCAGATAACCTCCCAGCACTGATCCACCTTTGGCATGGGAGAGGTTCTTGGCAGAGAGAGACCTCTGGACTATTACCTGCAATCAGTACAGAAAGGGAGAAAAGAGTAAAACAGAAGCACTACAGAGAGAGCAGGATCCATCCTCCCTCTGTCTCATTCTCATGGATGACTTTCATCCAGCCGGACCCAGGGTGTTTTGCATGCCAATGGCAACTTTCCCATCTCGTTTGACTGCAGCCTGCTGCCACTGCTCAGAGCTCAGCACACAGGCTATAGGAGAGGGCAGCACGGAAATTTCCTTTACAGGAACCATTTCGCCCTTGACTGAAACGAAGCCACCTTGAGGACTGGAGACAGCAGCTGTACGGCAGCAAGAGACAAGGAATTAAGCAGATTGTAGGTGTTTTGGTAAAGGTTCAGTGGTGGGTTTTCATAATTATCCCATCTGAAAACACAAGAGCACCATGTCTTGAGAAACAAACAGTTTTCCTTGTTTCTAGCTTGGAAAGTAATAAGAAACCTCAGGGAATACGAATGGCTTGTCTGGAGGTCTACATAAGGTCACTGCAGAGCCAGCTCCGTATCCACGTTTTCATATCCTTGTCACACTAACTGGGTACTCATCAGCCCACAGTGGGATAAAGACAGAAGAAAATAGCCCACTCTCTCTGCAGTAAGAAGTGCTCAAGAAGCTCAGAGATCCACAGACTGAGGAGTGGACTGGAAATAACAGTGTAGTGGTTTGCCTGGAAAGGGAAAGATTTTCTTTACCTGGTCAGTGCACCAGCACCACAGAGCCAGCACAGAGAGGCCAAATATAAGGCCAGGCCAAGGGATGTCTCCTGTGACTGGATCCCTGAACAAATGAAAGGCATCTGCACGTGGGAGGTGACAGGTCGTGTTTGGGACTATGATCTTTGGTATTGCTGTGCTGTATTTCTCCTGAAGTCCTTCATACCAGCCAACTTTTTCAAATCCTAGAAAGAAAATGCCAGTCATTTAAGGTCTGGTGCTCCCTGCAAAGTTATTTCCTTATCTGAGTCTCATAATTACTTTTCTCCTATCTCCCTCTCATCTCCTTTCTTTTCAATCCACTTTCACTTTGGCAGTCAAGGCTTTTACAGGAGTCAGTTGGATTTTGCCCAGAGTCCTTGTAGTTTTAACAGTGCACCCTGGAATAGGATCAATGCAGTAAAATCTTCATGATCCAAACCCCCACAACGTCCTCAGCATCTAGTTTTTGCTCACACGTCCTCCAAGAGCTGGAGCAGGATGGTATGACATAAGACAAGATATATCTGTATTTCTGTTTGCCAAGAAGGATTAAAGCCAAGACTAATGACGGTCAGTTCCTTGTCGATTTTCTTTTTTTTTTTTTATAATGCTCAGTTACACCCAGATGAATCCACAGAAACTCCTAAAGTCAACAGGAGAATTACTCTGAATTTACATAAGGATAGTGAGAGCTGAATTAGGGTCTGGAATTGCAGTGTTGCAAGCTCTTTGGAAACTCCAAGTAAACTCAAAATGTTGAGGTGAAGTTATCCAAATCTCACCTCCATAGAGTTACTGCAAAGGATGAAGCAAGTCTGACAACTTGGCAAATGAAAGCCATGCTGGCACCACTTCTGTGAGTGGTTGAAACTCATTTCTGCACCATAAGTGAAAGAGTGAGGTACCCTGGCAAGGTCTAAAGACCTTGGGACCATTAAACTAGCATATGATGCCACTGCAGGTTCCCCTTACCTATGAACATGAGGACCAAAGCTCCCAGCACCATGATCAGGGTCTGCAGCGCATCTGTGTATATCACAGCTGTTAATCCACCTGTCAGAAGAACCAGAGACAACAGGCAGAATGCATCACCATGTACAGTGAAGCAGGTACCTCACCTGGAAAAAGGTGGCCCCCAGCCCTTTGATTTCAGGACAGACCTGCTGGGAGAAGCTGGCACTGAGCTTGTCCCTAGGAGCCTACAGCTGTCACAAGGACTTCCCTGAGGAACGGTCGGAAGGGCTTGTCTAAATTCATGAGGACTTGGACGCAGTTCAGCATTTAGATATCTAAGGATGCTAATGTTGCAAACAGAGAAAAAAAGAGCAAATATGGGCAAGTGGTAAGTATCTGCATAGAGGTAGCTGGGAGCCTTCTGTAGTGTTCGAAAACTCTCTAGAAAACAGCGATGTTCCCTCCATGCCAGTTTCCCTTGGGCTGGGAGGGGACAGGGGAATGTCAGGGGTCTCCAGCAACTGGGAGTGACAGGGCAGGTACTGCCAGCAACCAGGGGAATCTCAGACCAGGACCTGAATACCTTCCCTTATGGAGGAAAGGGGAAACTTATATTCTAGGCTCCATTTTATAATGTTTCTTTTAAAATCAGCTATTTACCAGCTATGGTGTAGACAGCAGTCACTGCTAGCAAGACCACAGTGGACAAGTAGAGGTTCCAGCCCAAAGAGATTTGGATGAACAATGCTCCGGAAAAAATGTCCGTCTGGAACAAAAAAAATGAAGGGCAGTCTGGCGTTAATAGTGCTTCATAAAAATGAAACCTAACAAAGCAGCCTGCAGCCCTCTGCAGCTGAAAGCATTGATGAGAGAAGACACCATGAAGGTGAAGTGGAAGAGGAGGAGAGAGCTTGGGGCTGCTGGCTGTGAACCTCCTCATTCTTGGTGTAAGGAGAATCCTTTCTCCAGGTTAGAGCTCTCAGCATCTGGGAGCTGGGGCAGCAGGAGGATAAAAATCAAGGTCCTATGCCAAGGGAGTACAAAGTCATAAAAACAAAAACAGGCAGCCTTCACAGCACGTAATCCTCCCTGGCACATCGGTGGAAATGATCACTCCTTTTGCTGACTGTGAAAACATTCATGGGGCGCAGAAACCCATGTACTCACAGGCAGACACGGGAGGAAAAGGGGGCAAAATAGCAGAGCCCAGGTTCTTCCCAAGGCTACATCTTGATGGCCTAGTGGCCAGGAAACATTGCTGCTTGAAAGATCCCTAAAGAACCACTGATGTCTTATGGCATGATTTATTTATCTGTAAAGGTCAACAGTTTGCTTTTCTATTCATACTAGAATGACTCCAGAAAAACAGGTTATTCCTAAAAAAAACTAGAAATACAGAAACCCCCACTGGTTTTGTTTTGTTTGGACCTACTGGCAGAGAAAGTGAAACCAGAAACGGGGTGAAACCTGGAATTGTACAGATAACATCATTCAAATGCAGAAGGTGATATGGGAGATGTGTATGTTGGGAAATCAATTTGAAGGACACCTGCAAATCTGGTATGAGGTGAGATACAGGTAAAGGTGTTTGCTGAGGGAGACAGAAAGGATGGGACAAGATTTCTATTTGCTGTGCTTGAAATATGCACCTTAAATCAAGCACCCAGCACAACTCCTGATCTCTGCAGCCCTGAGACAGAACAAACTGCCAGTACACGACAGAAACCTCCCTGTCTTCTGGTTTTTGACTTCCCAGCAGGAAACACAAACAGCTCTGTAGCCATGCAGGATCAGTCCTTTGACAACACCATTTATCAAGATCTCTGCCTTTCTTTGCAAGCAAGACTCTGCAATGCCCTAGTTGCTAACCTATCTTTGGGCAAAAAGCACAGGGAGAAAAATTCTTCTTGTAACCAACTGCCTGCTGTCCAGCCAGCCGCTAAATGAGCTCTCTACAAACAATAGCACCGCCTAATAGAAAGCACCTGTCATGGCCAATAACTTCACCAGCCACATCCGTCAGCCACGCGTGAATTAGCCGCACAGAGGATAAACCACTGAGATGAAACAGCAATGACTGAGGCCAGGGTCGTGCTCTGAAAGGTGTTGGCAAATATTGCTCTGCTGAAGGTCATTGTCAAAGACTGGTCTGTTTTCACCAGAGAAGTTGACTGTGTTGGTGGGCACATTGTGGTGCTGGTGAAGGAGAGATCTTCCACTTATCCCTCATGGGTAAAAAGCCTTCAAATATGTCTTTGCAAGACCTCATCCTGGTCAATGCTTCAGTCCCACACAGCAAAGCTCCTGGAGGCAGTGTTGACAGCAATGGTTGACATGACCAAGAGCTGGCCATTAGAGGAGGAAATATATGCCATACTCCCAGCCTGGAACTCCTCTTAAATATTTCTCCAAGGACTTGAGACATAATAAGCCTGGGACAAGGACCCTGAAGTCAGCTGCAGAAACTGCATGGGTGCCTCATCTCCAGTCAATATCTTCCAACGCAATTTGACAACTAAATACTTCAGTAAGGTCTATTGAAAACTGACCTGTACTGGCCACGGGAGAAAAAATGACACTTTTAGCTCCTGTAATAGACTCTGAAATACAGTCCTCTCCCTCCAAAGGCACAGTTAGTCCTTAGGAAATCTCTGAGACTAAATTCTGCTTCTTTATTAATGGCATTTATATGAAGGGAAATATCCAGTAGCTTACATTGCTTTTTGGCTACCAATAGAGTACAATGCTACAAGAAATCCAGTAAAGATGGTGAGTTTTGTCTTAAGCCAGAACTTACCTCCCTTCCACCATACTCTTTTCATACAAAACAAGTGACTTTAAAAAGAGAGAGGAATAACCATAATACACCTAATGTTGAAAACTCAGCTACAACAACAACCGTAGATTTATGATCATTCAAGAGAATTTCACATCTACAAGATGCAGCCAGCCAGATCCTCAGATGGAGTAATATTGCAGTTCCCCTGTCTGTATCGCCTAAGGTTTGATGCGATAGAAGAGGAAAAGCAGGCAGACACCTTATGGTACATATACTGTTTAGTAATTAGCTGCCATATCCCTGTAAAGCTCTCACTGTGCATTGCTGTTTAATGAAGGCTCTCTCTCTTAGGATAGGTCTCCATGATCAGTGCAGAGGCAGGTATTTACTTGAGCACACTAACACACTGCTACTGTCTCTGGCAGCTGAGCTGGTCCTTTCAAGGACATCTGAGTTATTTCTGAGCACCCTGCATTGTAGCAGGATGACCTACCCCGTCCCATACACAAGGGTTGTGTTCATTTTGATACATACGGATATCTTGGTGAATATGTAGAGAATGAGGGAGAGTACGGACATGTAGATTTGTATCCTCTGCCCTCCAAATCTCTTCTGCAGGTATTCAGGCATGGTGACCACTCCTGCTGCAATGTAAACAGGCACAAAGATCCAACCGAGAGCCAGAAGTGCCCAGGTAGCCTGTTAGGGAGACAGAGAAAATAAAGGCACATGATTCAACACATGGGAACATCCTTCTCCTCTGTTCTTTCAGTGGACATCCTAAGAAAGCAGAAAGGTACGGTGCCATGCAGTGTATTTGGGAAGCAGTCTGACTTTTTCTCCCTGCTCAGAATATGAGATAACAAATGGAGGAATTACTACAATACAATGAGAAGCTTTTGAAGTTATCCTCCTAAGCCCTGTGTCTCTCTGTCATGGGTAGCACATCCTGGTCCACTTCCTAGTCTTTTGGGCAAGACTGATTTATTAGGCTGCTCCAGATCTCTAAAAGATGGTGGTGTATTTGGTGGCCTTTGAAACCACTGATGCTGTGGCAGTGAAGAGTTAAGTGATTCAGAGAAGGATGGGAGCATCTGTTTGTTGCTTGATTAGCAAGTGATGAGGCTGAGGCAGCAGACTGTCCCTGTGGAGCATAAAAATAAGCAACAGCAAGACTCTGCCGGGACGTTCTCCTTGTAGACTGACGCAGATGTGATTCTGTCACTGGTAGATAAAGGGGCAGTTCAGTTTCTTTGCCACAGGTGAAGGATCTTTTGAAAGGTGCAAAGGCATCTCCCATGATGTATTTCTCTGAAACCCAGTAAAAAAACAAACAGGAGATCTTGAACGTAAATAAAAGCCATTGAATTATCAAACCTCACCTCCTGGCTGTCTCAGGCCATTACTTTTCATCCAACTACCTTACATTAGTCCAGATTTTACCTTGATTGGTTATTTAAGTTATTAGAAATGAAACTGATCCCTATGAGCAGAGATTGTGAGCGATCGAGGAGAACAGCCATGGCTCCCACAGTGGCAGAGACTGTGTTAGGTAAAAGATGCTCGGCTGATCCCTGCAGCTGAGTGATGTCCCATGACAAAGGGAGAGAATAATGACATATCTAAGGTCCCTTTCCAATCTGAAAGGAATCTCAAGTTAGATTTGCCCTGACACACAATCTTGTCTTCATGGGCTTCTAAAATGAATAGATTTACTTAAAGTACAGTGATATTGGTATGTTCTACATGCACCAGGATGAACACTGGCTCTGGATTCTTCCCCAAGGGCATAAAGGTGATCTTAATGGTTTATAAAAAAAATAGAAAACAGTCCAGTGAATATATAACCCAGGAAAGAGCTTTTGGTGGGCCCTGCCTGTGCTTGGCAAGTATCCGGCACTATTAGCAGTCTCTGCTGATACAGACGAGATTTAGAGTTAGGTGAGTGATGTTTATTGTGAAGCTGGCACTAATCTCACTCCTCATCACTGCAGCTGAGAAATTTCATTAGCATCACACACAAAGGGCCTGGTTTTCATGCTCTGTGTGGTGTCAGTGGCAATTTTCCAGGCCACTTCAACAGGGCAGAATGAGACCTGCCTTCACACCCAGATGTTCACCCCAGAGATGTCACATTTTGGCAGCTGACAGGTGAAGGCAGTGTTACCAATTCTCATGGCTTTACACTGAATTTAGGAGCACATGCTGCTTGTTTTTCAAACTCCCTGTACCCAGAATCCTGTGATTATTCAAGTACCTTTTCAGAATTCATTATCTTTTATTTTAATCTTCATGAGTGCAGACTAAAGCTTAAAAATATGGCCATGTGCTTCTGAGAAGGTCAAAATGCTAATGATTTTAGTGGATTCCACTTAAACTAAAATAAAGATCTTACGTTTTTAAGGCTTTCTGAATGTCTGGAGGCTTCTCTCCTGAGGCTTGAGAACTTGTAGTTGCTGATACTGTTAGCATCTGATTTTGGAAACAAACCGCCAGTCCCTTTGTAAGCACTGACAACTTAACTGACTCTTACATTCCATTCAAAGCCCCCAACAGCAAGTCCCCCAGCTGCTCCAGTGCCTGCCAGGCCGATGAATAAGCCACTGCCCACGTTACTTGACATCAGGGATGCTCCAATCTGAAACACATGGCACAGACACAAAACCCAAAAAGTCACCTTGAGAAACTTCTGTATCAGCCCAAGCATTTTCCCCAGGCACTCTCTTTCCCCAGGGCCTCATCTTCTTTAAGTAGGTAGCTGGGTGCTAAAGGAGAGTTGGGTTTCCCTTCTTCTTTTAAAGAAAACTACATTTCTACATCTTAAAGTGAGTGTGTCTGCTCCCTTCCCCTGCCCCCACTTCAATGCAAAGCTTCATCTCAGAAATGGGGTTCACTTTGTCAGTGGTTCTCCTGAGATGCACACCTGTTATGGAGAGTACAGTAGGGTGAGGGATGCCTTGTGACAGCCACAGATACCTCAGTGTCTGTGAAATATGATGGATTTCTCCATTCCCTTGCTACTCAGCCAGCAACGTGCCTTCTCCGACCTTGCTGACCCTTGCTTTACCTCTCCATGTCTTGCTGACAGCCCAGCCTCTTTTAAGTCTTTCACTGAATATGCATGTGGTCATTTACACAGCCATGGTGACAGGAGTGCTCTCCTGGAGCTCCTCCTAGGGGAGGAGATTCCTGAACCACAGCAGGGACGATATTAGGATATTAGTCCTTTTTTGTTTAATGTCTGCACACAGGTTCAAAGATATTCAGCTCTGCAGTAGGCTGGAAAATGCTCACACTTCAGGTTAACTTTAACCATAGGTTGTGGGCACGGTGCGCTGCCCCTACCATGGCTTATTGACACCTTAACTGGAAAAATGCAAGCTCCAAGGTGCTTAAACAGGGCAAAGACAATCTGACTTCATTACTACTTTTATTTGGCACAAAATCTCATCTCCTTGCTGCATGTCAACATCCAATCTCGCTCAGGGACAAACGAGAAGCTGCCCAGAAGGACAAGTCTAGCCCTTTTGTCTCTAAAGAAAGTTCGCTTTTAGCCATGTGACCTATAAAGAGCTTTTATCTCTTTAGTACTGCTACATGTGAAATGAGGAATGATGGAATTTGATCTGCTTCTCACTTCTGAGCAAGGTAAAACATTAATATGGGATCAACAGCCACACTGATTCCTGCCAACAGCTCTGCCTTCTTGTCTGTCTGATTAGACAGCTGGCTGCTGCAACATGAATTTGCAACTTCAGTGGGGACTGATGCTCTCCATAAATGTAAGCAGTTTTTCTGGTATCTGTATCAGATACAGAAATACAGAAGATACATTGCACAGAAGCAGCAATGTAATATCAGGGTTTAGTTGAGGCTACCTAACAGGCAGAAGAAATCTGTCACCCTTGTAAAATAAAAATAAATAAAATGCATGTAAGCCAGTCATCTATTCAAGGTGAAAGTCACAAGTAGCTGAGCCTGCAGGAGTGCTGCAGAGGTGAAATCAGCAATCTGACAAACAAAGCCGAAAAGTGAACAGCATCAGAGGTTGCTTTGAGCCAAGAGTCAGAAGAGTCAGAAGAGCCAAGAGCCAACCTGTACCAAACAGACTCTGTGGCCACCTGTGGTTGGAGCCAAAAGCAATGAGAAATATTTTTTGTTTGTGTGTTTTGTTGATATTTTTTTAAGTAAAAAGAAAAAAATGGGGAAAAATGTTCAATTTTAGTATCTTTTCATTTTTCCTCTCCTAGTTAGAGAAAATCATCAAGTTTAACTTTTCCATTAGATGTCACTGGCCAAGACATAAATATAAAGAACATTTAAGAAATAACAAATTTTATAGAGGTGTATGTGTCTCTGATGGAAGAGGTTGAAAATCTAGCCTAGTGAATTTATGGGAAATGTACATCCAAAGGAAAAAAAAAGGAAAATATCACAGTGTTTTGGCTGAGAAGTGCATTCCGTTACCCACGACTCACTGGAGAGATATATGGTGCTAGAGTCTGGCATTGGCTGAGAAGGATCTTTATTCCTGTGGTGTTTTTATTCCTTTCAAACTTTAAATTATCTTTATATGTACCTTTCACTCTCAAGAAAAGGCTCCTTCAATAGATTTACTTTTTTCTTCATAGTGAAGATTTATACTTTGGTGGTTTGAAGTTTATATCCTTTATATCGTTGGTCAATAATCTCAACATTACTTTAAATAGCAAGGGCTCAGAGAGTCCTGGGCTTTGGGATTATTTTTTCTTCAGTCTCTAAATGCTTTTTTACTGGATAGCACATTCCTAGATTACCTAATGCTCTCTTGGCTTGGGTACAATGGTATCTTTGGTGACTTGGGGCCAAGGAGTTTCAAACCCAGCTAGGCAGTCAGTTCACACTTCCATCAGTGTGAACATTTTAATTGCTGACTTTAGCAGAGAAACTGAGACTTCAAAAAACCCTGAGGATGCTAACTACTACCCTTTTTGCCCAGCAGCTCCATGGGATGATTCCTGGTGGATCCTCTTGATCTCAAGACTACAGTCAAAACACGTACGGACTGGGTCCCCTCACTAGACCTGCCCTCCTTACGTTTGGAATTGCTTTCAAACCATGAGAAAGAGAAGGATGCATTTTACTCACAGGCCACCAAGTCATGGATCGTCCAGCTAGGAAATAGCCTCCAACGGTCCCCCGGCTTGCTCGCATTGATGACTGGAAGCACAGGAAAAAGAAAAGTGTTTTCTTCCATTCACCCACCCTCAAGTCAGACTCAATGCCCATCCCAGTAGCCGTGAAACATCCCGTCATCAACGTCTCGCACCATCCTAGTCCTGCTCCCTTGGGTGTCACTGCAGCCAGCTGGCTTTATTGAGAGCCCTACTCAGAGCAGCACTGACAGGTAGCACGTGGCTTTGACACAGGATGAAGCAGGGCCTCTGCAAATGGCATCTAATGTTAAGGCATCTAGGGGTTTACCTGCTCTTGAAAGGCTGCTCGCCTGCTGCTGATGGTATGCATTAAGAGGAGACATTTCCCTCCTCACTCTCCAGCACCCCTAGCAAATGCCTTCAGAGCCAAATAAAGAAGAACATGACACAGTGGTGAGAATCCAAGGACAATCTTGTATCCCATGGGATGCCATCAAAGACTGCATTTGGGTATGACACGCAGGTGCACTCTAGGACGGCGAGCAATGCTCTGCTGCAGCTCCTGCTGCCTTGCTTCTTCCCATTGCTGTGGATTCAGGGTTTCCAGCAGCCCCACACGTGTATGGCCACATCACACAGCCCCATCTTGGAACTGCATGAGATGTACCAGGATTTCAACAGCAATAGGATGTCCCTAGGCCAGCAAGGCCCTCTGATGTGACTGAGGTTGACTGTGTTTGCTGTTTGCAGCAACCAGGAACTTGCAGGCCGGCACTATAATAAAATGGTTTTGCTGCAAAATGCCTGTGCACATGGCAGCACTCAGTGAGCAGCACTGCCACCAAGCCAGGAGAAGCCTGAATGTCTGGTCTCAGTGTCGGCTCCAAAGATTTGTGTGTGTATCTGTTAGGTATGCCAGGCCTCACCCATTGCTTTTGCCTCTCTGGTGCAGGTTTCTGATAGCCAGGCTTTGGAAAGAGGCTGCTTGCACCTATTTAATGACTTCTCCTTGAACGTACCAAGTGGGAGAGAAAAAACACTTCAGCTAACCAGAACCAGGTCTCTACAAAAGAGACCTTCACAAAGCAACATTAACAAATAATTAGTAACAATCTTTCCAAAGCTTTTTAAAGTTCCATTTCAGCTTTCTCCACACTAACCCTGGCTTTTCTTTCACTCTCTGCCTGCCCACACCCTGGTGTAGGACTGCTTTTCATCATCCCCAGAATAAGCTCAAGCGAATGACCCCTTGGTTGTCCCCATGTAGGGGTGAGTGTTCACAGGAAGATCGCTGTCACCCCCAGACTTGCTCAACAGGCCCTGGGATAACAATGTGCACAGAAGATACCCTTTGCATACAAACACCTTTGTACCCAGGAGGGGTTCTGGGAGGATCAAAGGCTCGCCACCTCAGGCAGGCTAAAACCCAGTCACCTCAGGGACTCACCCATATCCCGACAGTGAGGACAAAGGCGAAGTAAAAAACCACAACGATGATGTCTGCCACCCCAAAGGCCACTGTTGTGTCTCCCGGCAGCGCAGGCAGGTCCGTGGCGGCTGGGGTCACCAGGCTCATGGCTGCAAGTGAACTGCTGATTTTCTCTGTCACGCTGGACTTTGGTGCGCGCTGGCCTTCATCGCCTCCTTTGTAATAATTAACAGGGTGGAGAAGGTGTGAGTTGGGGACAGGAGCCAGGCAGGATTGTGGCTAATGCAGGAGCTCTGGCTCCATGGTTCATCAGCGAGGACCTTCCCATAGCTCTGTGGTGGAAGCATCCCTCCCAGATGTTCCTACATCTTTTTACCAGTTGTCCATTTACCCATAAGTGACAGCCAGTGTGATGACAAATGGACAAATGGATGAGTGTCACATACCTTGTCCCCCAGTCCTCTTTCACATCACTTTCTCTGCAATATGTGGTCCTGCTCTGGCAGGAGGGTTGGATTCAATGGTCTCCAGAGGTCCCTTCCAACCCCTAACATTCGGTGATTCTGTGATCCTAGACAGGAACATTCCTCCAAAGAGGAGCTACCATAGAGAGGAGTTGCTCTTTCTTCCTAGCGCAGGTCATTAAGGACGCTGGTCTGTGCAGGACGGGTGCAGCACCTGCACCCACCCCTCGGGCAGAACTGGCTGCAGGCAAGGGCACTGTTGCCCCTCTCCTCACTCCGTCCAGCCACCTGCTGCCTCCTTCCCCACCCTGTGCTGCAGCCCAGGGATACTCTGAGCTGCAGAGACCTACAGCCTGGGCGGCTGGTCGGCAGACAGGGAGCATGTGTTACGCTGCACATTGACTTTCCAGATCTTGAGAGGGGGAAGTGCAGGGAGGAGACAGCTGAGTTCTCTTGGCAGGCTCTCCTGTGCGCACAAGCAGAAAAGGAGTTAAGCTGCTTGCGTGACAAGCAGAGCCTAATGCCAGGTCACCTACATAAGTTAGGAAAGCTGCAGTGGCAGCAGCTGTCTTGGGGCATGAGCTGGTAGGTGGGGGCTATCCCCTATCACAGCAGCTAACTGCACACTGCAGACCCAAGGCAGTGTCAGTCCCTGCCTCACTTTCCCCACCCGCAGCAGCACCAGGGAAATCACAAGTATGCTAAAGATGTTTCCCGAGCACTCCTATGGAGGGGGTTCTGCTGTAGGAGAGGAGAGGGCAGTGAGCTGGGCTAGCAGGCAAAGGCTACAGCTAATGGCCTTGCCACCCTGGCAAGCTCAGGAGGGCTTACCCTGGGGCTTGTCAGAACAGAAATCATGAGAGGCTCTAGCTGGATGCTAAAAGAAAGAGGAGAACACTTGGGACACACATAAGGTGGTCCTGACTGTCTACCAGCCCCCAAGACTGCAGCTCCAGTATGGCTGCAAAGGTCCCTCCATTATCTCTGCCTGCAGCTATCTCATAGCTGGCAATGGGGTACAGGACATCCCAGCTGAGGGCACCAGCCTGGCCTGGAGACGAGGTGGGCACCCTCCAGCACCCGCCTAGCTCTCCTCGACACCATCAGCTCTCTAAATCAGGGCACAGGGTGTGGGTCATGCTGCCTCTGGGACAGCTTTGGGAGAGTTGCCCAAGGCTCTTACCACATTTGCAGGGCCATTACAGAGCTGGCTGTGGGGGACAAGCCTTCTCCAGGCAGTCTCCTGGTCCTCAAAGCTGAACCAGCTACTACCTCCCTCACTCTCGACCATCCATGGTCCCTCACCCCATGATCAGGCAGGACATTTTAAATGTAGGTGAGATTTGCTTGTTCTTGGTTTCAAAGAAGGCAACAAAACCTCCCTCTCATTTTGTTTCATTCGCCCTCTCTCAGCATTTTCTTGCAAATGCTGGCTACCTACTTGCTCATTAGTTGCACTGCTAAAGCAAGTCCCCCCTGTCCACCCTTGCTCCCCAGTCTGAGGCTCTCTGGAAGCAGCACCTCCCCATAGTCTCATTATCCACAAGAGGTTTTCAAGACTGAAATGTTTCAACAAGCTGAAATACAGTTCCCATAAATTAAATATCTGGAAGCCTAAACCCCCTGGTGTAAACAGGCAACTTTCTCTGCACTGAGCTGATTTACACTCACCCACACGCTCTTCACTCTTAACACCGCAGCACTCAAAAGCAAAAAGACAGTCACCAATCTTGAAATGCATCAAATTCCTCCCCAAGAAGCAAACAGAGCCAGTATCTCCGGTCTTTGCAAAGCAGGAATCCTGCTCCCCATGGGGAGCCCAACCCAAAGTATTTGCCCAACCCATCCCTTCAGCCCACCTTCCCAAGGTACTGCAGCAACAGCAATCAACACTTGCAAACACTTGAAAACTTGCACCCCTGAAAAGTAAATACACCTAATAAGCCATTCCTAGCAGCCATGAGCTATCACGAGTCCATTGGACCCACTAGAGTGACGTTGGCTTATAGTGGCAAGATGCTGTCAAGTGTTATTAGTGACCAACCTCATTGCTGGTGCCATTGGATAGGACTGAAGTGGCAGCACCTCGAACGTGGACAATACCTCGAGTGCATCTGCTACAGCTCCCTTCTTCACTGCTCGGTGGTCTCGTGGCCCTCCTGCCCTCAATCTTGTTTAGGCAGGAGTTGCTCCTCTCTCCACTTCTCGGGGCTGGCCACAGAGGTGTGCTCCTCTTGCGCTCCCCAGGGGATGTGGCCACTGTCCCTGCCCACAGCTGAGGGGATGAGGAATGCCAGTGTTGTGTGACGCTCACCCTGGCTCTGGACGAGGAGCCCCGTGTGAGAAGTGCGGTGCACGGCTCCAGTGGGCCCCAGCAGCAGGGCAGCGCTTCTCACCAGTTCCGCATGCTCTTAAGTCAACACCGGCAGCTATCCACCCCCAGGAGACGTGGCACTCCTTGCCCCGGGAACGGATGGGGGAATTCACGTGCCCTGGGAACAATAGAAATCCAGCACAGCTGACAAACAAAGAAGCCGCCAGTGGAGGGAAAGATATTACAACAGCCTAAGCTCAGCAGGTGCAGCTGGGCAGATCTGTATTGATTCTGGGGGAGGATCACTTGTTTGCTCCCGCTTATCTCCAGGGGACCTGGCGAGACACATCGGATGCTCTGGTTAACTGCTACGGCAAACACATCTTCCCCAGAAGGTAGACCACCTCAAAGCCTCTCAGTCACATGGGCAAAGCTGAATTTTGCTTCCCCAGAACTACAGGGCCAGTTGGCTTATGTTATCTGTGGAGGCGGTTGCAGGGGAAATGCTGGCCATGTTGGGGAGGGGTAATCCAGTGAGCACAGGGAACAAAACTGTTGTGGGGTGTCACCCATGGCATGAGGAGGCACTAGTGGAGGTGCTGTACTTATGGGGGTAATGGGCACAGAGAGCCGAGCTGAGGGAATACAGATCTCCATCCCCTCCCCATTCCCCTCCCGAGACATCGCTCCTCTACCTCCCACAAAAACCCTTCCTCGTCCCTCCAGGACTCACTCCCTGGTCCATGCCTGGCTTCATGCAGCCTTTCTTTTATCTTTGTGAGGGCTGAGAGGAGGGCTAGCAAATGAAGGGGGAGCAGAAGACAGCTTTTGGAGCTCAGACAGTGGGGCTGAGATGAGACACGAGTGTCTCATCTCCTTGGCCAGAGCTGGGCGCGTTGGCACTGAGCCCTGCAGACCGTCTCTCTGCGCACTGTCCCGATGCCCCGCAGAGGTGCGGGTCAGGCTGCAGAGGAGCAGCAGCCCTGTCAGACCACACAGTTTAAGCAGAATCTTGGAGCTGCAACCCACCTGCCAGAAGCTTCCTGCAGCACAGCTTATGCGCTCTCCTCTCCTTGCAGCAAAAGCAACAGGACTTTTAGTGTCCTCTTGTGGAGTGTGCTCCCTCACTCCTGTCACAGCAGCTGAGAATGAGCCCTTCAGGGACTGGAAATTATAAGTGGCATTTCAAAGTGTGCAGCTAGAAACAAACAAAAAAAAAATTGTGCAGAAGAGCAAGCGTTTCTGGGGCAAAGGATGTTTGGTTAAGTGACAGGCAATTATTTTCACAAATGTTAACGAATAAATGGACTTCCTCTTCATTACAAAGCTACTTCACAGTCGTCAGCAAATAGCTCCGGTGACAATTAGTGAATTTCTAAATGGATTGAGAAATTGGCTTGTATATGGATAACAATGCAACATGGCAAGGCGATAGCCAAGCCCCATACCTTACCTCCGGAGGGGGAATTTTTTTCTGCGTGCTGGATGGGCAAGGCATTCAGCTAACCATTATTTTCTTCTCAGCCCTTTCTCAGGGGAGGAATGACTCTTGAATGAAATCCAGCGGTCTAATTTTGGTTTGATATGAATGGGCTTTAAATGCATTTAATGTTTAAAGGCAAGCTGTTCAGCTCAGAGCCCGCTCCGGAGGAACAGCGCGGTGGGGAGCAGGCACAGGCAGCGGGAAGACGAGCAGACCCCCGGGAAGCTGCAGCAGTGTTACCACGGCTCTTTTCTTCCCTCTGCAGGCCACATGCCGACTTTCATTCCTAGGTTGTCCCATAAGCCTGGAGCAAGTCCATTCCTTCAGGTCTTCTTGCATTATTATTTTTCTGTTGTCTAACCCTGGGCTGAGTCAGGGATAGCTGAAGGCTGTGATATAAACACGGTGCAGAAGAGGTAGGGACGGTGCTTGTTTCGGGAACCCCGGTACCTCGGGAGGGTTCTTTGTGCACCCATCGCACCAGGGGGAAAGCTCGCAGCTTCGTGCAGTGGAGACTGCTCCTGTCTGCCCCCGGGGTCAGGGGAGAGAGCCCCGCAGATGATGCCTTCGCTCAGTTTCAGCCATGCAATGCTGGGGCAGAGGTAGGTGGACTCACATGGGACGCAATTTGTGTGGCCTCTCCCCTCAGCAGGGAGCTGTGAGCACATGGAGCTCTCCCAGCAAGCCATCACTTACCCCCTCCTCGCTCTGTCCCAAGGACCACCTGTAGCTCCTGCCTGAGCACTGTGGAACAACGACCCTGCCAACTGCGTGTAGGCTACAGATAGCTTTGACATAGAGAGCAGCTTCA